GGGGGGGGGGGGAGGGTTGTTTCTTTCTTTAATGCAAGTAACATTTTCCTTGTTAATAAGGGAGGATGCATTCCAGATCGCCTCTAAAGAACAGCAACCATGCTACGTTATGTTCCTCCATTTTACATAAAGCTATTCATGAATATATGCTTTTAATTAGAACTGCCTTTTACAGAAAGATGGGTTTATGGATAAAAGAGTTAGTTGAAACCCAAATATTTCAATTCTGATACGCCATCACACTGTCTCAGAGGAGCTGTACTTCAGTTGCTTAATGTCCTTATTCTCATAGATGGAATGGATCTCCCCTGACATATTTCATACTCTATAATGCATCAGACCATGAAATTCCCATAACATATCATCTCTCCTCCCTGAAACAGAGGCTCGTGGAACAGCATGGACGATGTGTTCAGTCTGAATGAGTCTAGGAGGTGCTCCCCGTACAGTTCCCATAGAGCGCTTCTGCAGCATTTGCTGCCTAAATTGGTATTTGGCCAAAAGGTTCTGATTTCAAACCTGTAATTTCAGTGAAAATTCTTCCATTTTTATTTTTTGTTAAAAGTTTGAAATGGGGAAAGGAAGGAAAGGAGAAGGGAAGAAGGAAAGCAAGCTGTGAAAATTCCAGAAGGGTTATTGCAGGGCACACAGCACTGCCGTACTTCAGCAGTGGAGCTCTTCAGCATCGCCCGTTGTTCTTCGCACGTTCTCTTGATCCCCCAATACCCTTTCAGTATGTCTTTATGTACCTGACAAACATTGCCCAGGAGACAGCGGGCATACTCGTAAAACATACCTTTCAGTTCTGGCAGCTCTTATTAGAGAGCAGGGATCTTCAGAAAGTGGATCCAATGCATTTTGTTACATGTGTGTTTGCCAACGTGTCTCTCTGAGATTAGTGAATCAGCCTAGGTGTGGCTTCTTGCAGCAACCCCATAGGCCCCTTTCAACTAATGGCACCACTTCTCATTTGGGGTAGTAACCATCTTCAAAACACAGTAGTGAAGAGTTATTGTCTCGTCTCACTTCATTTATCCTCCAGAATTGGTATCTTTTTGTTTCGTTCTTGTGGCTCCTTACATAGCAGGGCAGTTGAAATGTCTTAATACTCTTCTGATATCAATAATAAACTGTCGCTCCAATGTTTTAGGCAGTATAGGCAGAGGCTGTATGTGAAAAACATGCAAGGGAAACGGCAGCACTTCTTTAGGAAGGTTAGGGAAGTACATGGCCTCAGTAGAGAGTCCAGTGCATTTCCAGCAGAAAATCTCATGAACCTTCAGATCAAATCTTTCTGCATAGGATTTCTATCTGCCTCGCCCAGTAAAGAAGCCACAGGGAGCTGTGGAGAAGGGGAGCTTCTGCCTTGTACACCAAAAGCATGGTTGCAATATGTTGTTTTCTACCAGTCTTCAATCCTTTTTTTTTTCTTTCAAAAGTGGAAAAAAAAAAAAAAAGTATATTCTACTTCAGAACAGAATTGTTTCTTTCTACATTACCTTCTCTTTGGGGTTTCTCTCACATGTTTTATCTTTTTTATTCCTTGCTATATTCACTCAAGAATACAGACCAAGTGAAAACAAATTAATTTTAATGCCTTTTCTGGGAAAAATAAAAGTACTAGAGGAAACCCATTTTTGATAAAAGCTTTTCATTAAATGAAGATTGTTAATGACAACAAAGGCAAGCAGTTGGCAGTAGTAAATTAACTATGTTCTGACAGTACTCTATGGATAATAGTGGTGAATGTACGTAAGACTGCATTAGTTGTACAGTTCAAAGGAGGAAGAAAGCAGGAGAGAAGCTAAAACTGGGTACAACATCAAAAATACTGGTTTTGTGATAAAAGACAGAGATTCTAGTCTCTTTGTACTGGGATTGAGTTTTACTAGCAGGCTGTAAATCAGTAAAAGTATTCAAATTGTAAACTTCTTTGCAACCCAAAACTTTCCAGAAAAGGCTTATTTTTTAAAAAAATACTGGTTTTTACTCTGACCAAATGCCATTGGCTCCAGGCTCTTGTTAGTCCATTTGTCTGAGTGGAAGACCTGGAAACCATTTTTGAGAAAAGCTTTTTATTAAATGAAAACAACAAAGGCAAGCAGTTGGCAGGAGCAGGCCAGGTCTTGCACTTCCAAGTTGTGTCAGTTTAGAATAAGAAAGTTTGAAAAGGAGAGCAGGAAAGTTTGACTAAAATCAGCATAATTTAGTGTCTCTTCACTGTGAAGACATCTCTGCTTCCGTTATATGCATTACTTCATCCTCTTCCTAGGACTGGTTTTATAAGTCATGTTAAGGCTGGGCTGTCCAAAATTAGATTGTTCCCAGGCTGCCTAGTTTAAAGTGAATCATGGCTCTATGTGGATCATCATGCAGGCACACTAAAACTTGAGTTGCACTCCGACATACACTTAATTATGTACCAAAAACTAAGAATGGAAAATTATTACCTATTAATACCTTCTTCCTTAGGCCTGTCTTAGAAAAATATGAAATGCTGTGATAGTCATCACAGAAATCACATAGAGATGGGATTAGTGGAATCAAGCTGACATACACAAAGAGAAAGAGCTACAGCCCTACCTGTAGCTAGCTAGCGTAGGGGGAAAAGGGGCAAATCCTGATGTGGCTGTTCATTGCGGTGCAGTGTGGGTTAACTGATGCCATCAGTGATCAATCCTTAGAAATATCGATCCCTTATATTTTCCCATGTCTTTTATTAACTCATTCATTTTGTTTTCACCGGTCAATGAACGTGTAGCACATGAAGATACTTCCTTGGTGGCCAGAAAACAGTGCTCAGACCATAATTTTCAGCTGCAGCTGTGGAGTGCTCCAGACAACCCACCCAGGGTAAAGCGAGCATTTTTGTGGCCAGGGGTCTGTGCTGGCCCTGGACCATATGGGCTCTTGGCACATTATTGCTGCAGCTGCCTGCTGCCCCAAGAAGACAAGGTATTAAGCATGAATTTCTACACTGGGAAAAGGCCCATAACCTTTTTGTCCTGCTGATGCTGTGGGGGATAGGAGAACAGAAAAAGCAGTTACATCTAGCCTTGTCTCACTGGAAAGTTTCCTTAACTGGAATGACCTTTCCACAGCTAATTGCTCCAATTCATTATGTCCTAATAAGGCGTGTTTGCACATGAGTCACCTCACTCAGATCTGCTGTGCCCTTTGGGGAAGTGAGGTGTTGGGCAGGGAGAAGGGTGGGAGCCAGAGTACCCCCTTTGGTGCCACCTCCCCGGTGCAGGCTGTGTGCTAGAGACCATGAAGTAGGCTGGTTCTCGTCCCCTTCTGTCCCCACCCCATCACACCATCACACACAAATTCATCAGCCTCTGGAAACTTGATGGAAGAAGTTTGCTGTCTCACAGAACAAGCTCAGTGGGCGTGTTTCACTTTGCCTGTTTGAAGCATTTTGAAGTTCCTACTCATCTAATACCCAGCTCTTTTACATAAGGTGTGAGCTTTTCAGGGATGTTTGCAATCAGCCTGGCTTCCCTGTCATTGAAGTTGTGGAGACTACGAGGGGCCACTTTCCTAAGTCCCCCACGCTTTTGGAAGTACATGAAAAAGAAATATTCTGGGCCTGGTAGTTACCTTTGAGCTGCCCCCGCTGCATATATTCAGTGAGATCTGCAGTATGGAGTAACTGTTCGGTTCCTCTTCACCCTCCTTATGTGGGCTGGTTTGAGATGCAGCCACGCTAGTAAAATGAACCTGACAGAAAAGCCTCTAATTTAATTCAGAAATGGAATGCAGATTTTTTTGTAATTAAACCACAGACATGCATTTAATACAGCACGCAGTAGTTGCTGGGAAAAGTAGGAAAACCCCAAGATAAGTAACACACCTAAAAAAATGACAGGAGGAAAGTACAAATACAGCACTCGACAAGCAACGCAACCATTCATCAAGATACAGTCAAGGCCTCCAAGTTACATCATCACCTGCGGAAAGAGCGAAGCAGGTGTTCCTCCCTCCAGATAACGTCTGCTTTCAGAGTGAAGACAAACCACCTGGGAACACAAAGCCCCCGTGGCAGGGGGGCATGATGACTTTCTAACAGGAGCAGCCTAAAAGGGCAACCACCCCCAGACAGCCCCATGAAAGTCAGGGAAATGCTGCTATCGCCTCAGCTGCAGCATCCAGACACCTGATGACAGTGTCAGACACTGCAGAACGGTGGGTCACACTCATGGCCAACTAGATAGCTATTTCCCTCCTGACTGTATTTGGTTTTCCTTCCTTTACTCCTGACCTGTTTGTGATGTCAATGGGACTGAACCCATCCATGTCATTAACATTTCCTGGCTTTCTTCTCTTCGCTCTCACACTGCCTTGCTCACAAAAGCAAGGGGTTTGGCTCAGAAGAAGTGTCAATACACATCTTTCCTCCTTCCCACCAGTGGTGTAACTTGCCTGTAGCCTGGATCTCTGTGCCCATTGTCAAAGCTCTCCCATCCAGCCAACGAGGCACCACAAGACACTCAAAAACCCCAGCCCTGGTTCTGTTCAGCTAGACTTACCAGTCTGTTTCCTTCTGCCTAGGAAAATTTTGTCGGCATTTCTCCAAGTCTTGCAAGTTGCCTTGAGGGTACGCCATCAGTTGAGGCTGCATGACTGATCAATTCCTCCCTCTCCTTCCATCCTCCATTTTCCAGATTAATCTTTTCAGCTGATGGACAAAACAACAACAACAAAAAAACCCCAACAACCCAACAATTTTAAAAATTCCCATGGCAATAAATAGATAGATAGATTACAGTCAATTACCAGAAACTGCTATTGATCAAGGCTGGTTTAGAAGCATACTTGCTTTCTGCACTCAAGCTTACAATACAATTTGCCCTGCATTCAGCATCTATTTCAATTAAAATGAGAAGGGAGGAAATGCCACTTATTTTAAATAAAAAGCTTTCAAGCTATCCTTGCAGGCGGCTTTGAGGATCTAGGACAGATCAAAGCTGCTTTGAGAATTCATCCATTCTGCTTCAAATGTGATAGTGCATTGTCCATAGAAAAAAATTAAGGCAGTGTAAGATATCAAAGCAGTAAGTACATTTTAGGTTTCCAAGCAGTGGTCTCAAAACTGGTGAAGTCTGACAGAATAATAGAACAGGAGTGACAGTAATCCCCTCCATCACAGAAACCAAGGTATTGGCAACTGCAGGCACTGCACCAGAAATTGTTTCTTAAATTAATCAAGCTCTGTCTTAATGATAGTGAGGTCATCTGTGTGGATCAAAAGTCTTGGTCAATACCAGCTTCTCAAAACTGACTGAAAGCAGTCAATTATGAGTAAGTTAGGAATTGAGGTTTGCCCCAAACCTAATCCCTTTGCTGGTTAGGACTTTATTCTAACTTCCAGCCTAAAGGCGTTCATGGGAAACGTATCCTTTTCATCCTTGTTTTGACATTGTCCTTTGAATAATGTGTCTCCTTTTTGCCATTTGATGCCTGCTTCTTGCATAATGGCAGATAGCAATCACATCTCCTTTCAGCTTTTCGCCAAGTTTAGTGAACCAGACATTTTGGCACTGTGCTTGTGTAGTAACTCATCTTTCTTCCGAACACCCAGGTCTGTTTTCCCTCTGCCTGTTCCAGTCTGAGTGCATCTTCCTTGAATAAAGGTAGCTATTCACAACAACCTAAAAGAAGTCTGGCCAAGGTGCTGCACTGTTGCAGTCACTCTCACCTCTGGTGTCACTCTGCTGTGTCTTCTCAATATTTCTTTCTCCTATCTTTTTGCTTTCTTGGGTTTGCGCTTCCTCCTACTCCTTCTCATTCCCACTTGTACTGCTTTTGGTTCTGCTTCTTCACTGCTGCTTTTCTCACTGCAGGCCAAAATAAGTGAGAAAAGTGTCAGGTCCCCCTTTCCAGACCTGTTGATTGAATGTGCTGAAGAATAAGTGGCCTGTGGGGAACAGGATTTATTGGGCTGTTAGCTTGAATGGAACCGTCTGGTTCAGCCTGTTGGGTCTCTAAGCACAATTTCTTACTGCACAGCTCCACTGATGCTCTTCCTCTCTCTAAATGTACTTTGAAGGGCTTTTGGATTGGTGTGTGAGGAGTATGGGTAAGACCTGATTTAGGGGATGGGAGAAGCAGACTTCACTATCTGTCAGTCAGAGGTGGTTTCATGCCCTTCAAATATATTTTTCAAAGGAACTGGTCCTGATGCTGCATGGCTAACTTGTCTGTCATCTGTTGAAATTAGAGCCGCTGTCCTGATGGGGTTTTGTCTGTTTGTTTGGAGGTAACCTGCATTAGCACAGAAAGAAATGTCTTAACTTGAAGTTCAGTTTGAACTTGTGATTAAACTCAGTTCTTTTTATGGAGGAGGTACCTATTCTTATTTGCTATGGTTCTGCCTTTAAGATGGGACAAACTCCAGATCTTGTCAATTAAAAGGATAAAGAAAGTTTAAATGAGAGATGAAACCCTTCTGTCATGCTAGGGATGTGGAACATTAGCTGTTCGCTAGCCTGTTCCACACCACAGTGAGACCATATTTATTTTTGTGTGCTAAATACCGTATCAAGGATAGTTAACAAGTAAATAGATGAGTTGAGGTTGAATCCTTAAGGGAATTTCAAGTGGAACAAAAACTAATGTGGAAGTCGAGACTGTAACAACCTCGACAATGTCCCTTTAAATTACACTTAATAAATACCATGGAGCTGAAGTGTTCCGTGGTTATGCATATATTTGTAACAAATGGTTGCACAAATATTTGGCTCCTAATGATGAACTAAATGGTATGACATTTGCCTGAGAAAATTAATTACTTTAACGTGTGTTGTATAAAATATGAGATAATCATGTAATGTATGTGTATACTGTAGAGAGTTGCTGAGTGAGTAAGTTATTACCAAAGGAAATTTATGAGAAATAAACAAGAAATACTCAGAGATGCTGTAAATGTCATGTTATGCTCAAGGGCCTTTTGCGGCTGAATAGTTTTTATGTGGTTGAGGACAACAGGATCATGCAGCAAAAAGTCAAGTTAGAATGAGTTAATCTTTGTATTTGCACATAATTTTATTGGTATTTAATGTAATGATAATGTTTCTGTTTCAGACTGTAGGGTCAGCTCATAATGAAGACGACAAGATCAAATCAGACTAAACTGAGTGATCCAGCATGGTCTCAGCACCAAATTTTAAACTGCCTAATAAAGAAATGGGGAATAAAGTGGTCCTTATAGTCAAACCATGGCTGCTGGTTTGGGCAAAATCTTACTGCCTAACTAATGTGACCTTTTGGAAGGGTGAAATAACCTTCTCAAGGTCTTGCCCATGAAGAGGCGTCTCTCTGTGAAATTCTCACATCTCACAAGCAGGGAAGGTTCAGTGACTGTCATAGCTCTGCCTTCCCCTCCCATTAGGATGCTCCACAGAGTCTACATGAAACTGCATACATGAGGAAGAAATGGAAAGCAGTGAACTGGGGAAATATGAGCTGGAGAGGGAAAAGCAGATGTGTACATTTCTTAGACAAAAAGTGTAGAATGTGATGGACCTGATCTCTAAATAGTAGTAGGAAATAATATGATTAAAAAATCACGTCATTTACACTCATCTTATTTCCCCTAACTAAGAAACTCAGATAGATGAGGCTTTTTCTAGAGCAGCTAGCAGAATAATTTTAGAAAAAAGCAGGGCTGATTGGTTTTGGGGGGTCTTTACTCTGATAGTTATGAAGAGCATGATAAACTGGGGCATAGCCTGTTCAGTGAGTGTGTCACCGGCCTTTCATCATGCAGAAAGAAAGCAGCTTCCCAGGTGGCAATCCTGGAGTCAGTTCTTACCACGGGAGAGGAACAGCTGGGGAGGGTGAAGGTGGAGGACAGTGTTTGTGAGAGAGTTACAGGATTTGTAAGCCTCGGGGAATGAAGGAAGGATAACATAAACCTGAAGGCAAAGGACTTCAGGACAGCAGACTTTAATGAACTCGGAGGATATTAGCAGGTAAATTCCTCTGGGAATCAAATCTGTGGAAGAAAAGAGCTGCAGAAAGCGTTGGTCGTTCATTAAAAAAAAAAAAAAATAAACAAAAGATGGTAGGAGCAGAATCACAAAATATCCCAGCTCATAGAAAGAATAGAAACCGCAGTAGGAGATATCTGTGAAATCACAAGCTCTTCAATGATCTCAAGTGCAAGAAGGGAGTGTACAGAAAATAGGAACTAGGTCAAATATCTAAAAATGAATGTTAAAAAAAACTCAGTGTGAGCACACAGAGACAAAAATCAGAAAGTTTAAGGCACAAAATAAAATACTTCTCCTATTCTTTGCTTATACTAATAAGGCATTTTAAGGGCATTTTTGATAGTAACAAAATGGGAAACCAAGGGAAGAATTACTTTATGGGTAGGAAAATTGACAGATGATGCTGAGAAGCTCAGAGGGCTTAACGCCTTTTCTGAAGAAGACTAGAAGAGGGCAAACATAGTGCTTCTGTTAAAAGTAAGGGCAGAGAAATGTGGAGCCAGGGAACTAGAAATAATCACCATCCCTGTAACTCCTGAGAAAAGACCAAAACAAATAATCAGGTGATTTATAATTCCATTAATTTTAAAAATGAGGTGTAACTTGATATGATCCGTCTTCTTCCATATCCACCAAATTTCCTTTTTTGACAAGCAGACAGGCATTGTAAGTACAAGAGAAATAATATGGGCCACACACAAAGGTGTGTGTGTGTGTGTGTGTGTGTGTGTGTGTGTGTGTGTTCTGCATGGAACCAGACAGGCCTACCATAAATACGCTTGGAGGGGGCTTTCAAACAGAGGCAAAATGTGAGATCCCCTCTGGTTCCTGCTACCAGTGCTTACACAGCTGCCCGCGCTGAAGACTGAGCGGTCTGTACAATGCAGGGAGCACCAGAGCTCAAAGGAGCTGGGAGAGAGAGACGCAAGCGGTGGATGTGCTCTCACAGTGCTCTTGCAGCTGAGAGAGCAGTTGTGGCCCTTTTGGAAAAAGAGGATGAACAGTGAGGAGGGGAGGACCCGGGGAGTGCTTGGAGGCTGGTGGGGCCATTTGCTGCGTGGCTTTGAGCACCCTGTGCTTCTGAGTCAGGAAAGGGTGTGGCCAGGGAGAAGACCCCCAAAGCCTTGCCCGTAAGAAGGAGCCAACCTTCCCAGTGCTGACAGAATCTTGCTGTGCTTCTGCATCCTGGATGCTTGGGCCAATGCCTTAAGGAGAGCACCAAATGTGGGGAAAGATGCTGCATGTAAGAAAACCCAGTGTCAAAATATCTCACTGGACCTGTGATTCTTTATCTGTGTTTGATATCCATGGTGGGCAAGACAACATAGAAAGTAATCTAATTAATAGAGAAAAATGCTCTAGAATGAAGATGGTGAAGTGTCACGCCTATGCTGAGGCAGAGCATCCTCATCTTCCAGTGCTTGTAACAATAGGTTAGACAGATTTCTGCTAGGCATGTCTTGGTACCGCTGATCCACCCTAGGGTCAGTGGGATGTTGTAAATGAGTTTGTGCAGTCTCTTTCAGCACTGTTTTTCACCCAGGGTGTGATGATGTGTATCCTTCTGCAGTAATGGCCTGGCAGGAACCCCTCTCGAAAGGTGAGGGAATGGGTGGCCTTTCGCTCATGGCAATCTGGCTCATCGTTTGCTCTGAGGTTCACATTCAGGCTTGTCCCTGTGGGC